TCAAGTCGCTTCTTTACTTTTCGAAACTTTTCTGATGATGTTTTTGTTTTCTTCCACTTCCTTGACGTCGGGCTACGCTACCAGTATCACGGTATCATTTAAATGCTGGAGTGCTCTAACGATAGCCACTTGTGGTTTTCCAGCCAAAAATAAAGAAATCACACTATCACGCTTGAATACCATCACGAATAACTTTTCTTCTGAAAAATTCTCATAAAAATGCTTGTGTACGCTTGAAAACAATATAATCAGCTGTCACTGGAATAATTTTAACAGCTGTCGGATGAGTGGCTTAGAAATGACGGGTGAATTGCGCACCAAATGGCGAATATCTGTCTAAATGACTTGAATTTTGGTATATCAGACCGAATTGAGCCTAGAAGCAAGTACATCAAATTTGGAGAAAATCGGTTCAGATACAGCTATAGCTCCCATATATATTTCGTCCGATTTGGTGTTTAAGTCCCTCACATTCGTAATATGCTTTCAACAACAACGATATTTAGTGCCAGATATCTTGTAGAGCTTGGAAATACCTTTGCCAAATTTTATCGAGATTGGCTAAGTTCTGGATATAGCTCTCATACATATCCATAATTTCCGATTTCGGGAAATTCGTTTGGCGGAACTCCGCTGAGATATATATATATATATATATTTTTTTTTTAATATAATCCTTCTCGAAGTAATATCATGCACTCTATAGCAATGTTATTTGGTATAAAAGATAAAAATGTCTCCATCAAATTAACTAAAAATCGGTGCAGAATTGGATGTGATTCTCATATATTAGTTCCCTCTGAAACCAATTTATAACTGCTCTAAAGCCAAATGGTGATAGGTGGTATGATTTTCTTCAAATAAAATCTTTTGTTACGGGAGCTCTACTAAATATGCAAAGTCCTGTAGGGTATCATATAGTCGGCTCCGCCCAACTTTTTACGTTTCCTTACTGGTTGGAATTAAAACAATTATTCCATTTATCACTTTATTCTTAAAAAAAAAACTTGAAAACAGCCATTCCCATCTCCTTCCACACAAGTGTTGAAAATTCACCTCCAATTAAATTGTCAACCGAATTACAATGGGCGTTATGTGGCATTACAAAAAGAAATGCCCAAATATCCACCAAGATACAATTTGTATCCTCCTTTAGCCAGCAGTAGCACCTCCCCTCTCCACCAACACCACATTCGTTCATTCATTTGCAACTTAATTATTAATGTGTTTTCTCTCTTCGGTTTTCCTGCCAAAAGCTTGTGTAAAATGTAAAATTCATTAATACCTCAACGGTGAGCCATCGCCATCATCACCGTCGCCACTACTACCTGGACCCAGTTCTCTTTCCGACTCTCTTCTGTTCACTGATACAAAATTGATTTTTTTTTTAATATTTCATTTACTTTTACCAATTGGGATAAAAATTACACATAAAAATCCACAGCACAGAAATTTAATGGGCATAATGGATGAATGGCTGGTGGAAGCGAATTTTATTGGTAAGAGGAGGGAAAACATTATAGAGGCCATTGCTTGCCAGCCACCAACCAGATAAATTATCGGCCAATTGTTGCATCGTAGATATGACAATGAAATACGGAAGCAGCGACTTGCACACAGCTACACACTCGAACACACCAATGTCTACACATACATAAATACATACACAGAGATGGGAAAACATGCCATAACTGTAAAGTTAATGTAATTACAACCACTAATTATCAGTCAAAGTTCATTTAAGTGATACATTAAGGTTAAACAGTCTAGGGAAGGGGAGAAATAGAGAGAGAGAGAGAGAGAGAGAGAGAGAGAATTTTAAAATGCTCGAGACAAATAAGTTGTTAATTTGTTATGCAGTTCATTATGTTCCAATGGTATGTAAATTGATAAGTAGTGGATACATATATGTTTGAAGATCGCCTATTTTACCGTTTTGCATGCGATTGTTGAAGGATGTGGACGAAATTGCAAGTTTCTGGCTTAAGAGTAGGGGGTTTTCAAATCTAATCAATCTGTCCCAATCAATCTTCCTGATTTACAAAGTGCAGCAGACAGTAAGCCTTTTAAAATATATTATAAAAAATATACAAGTAAAAAAGCTGTAAGTTCGGCCGGGCCGATCATTGTATACCCTCCATAGTTCATACAAATTTGGCAATTTTCAAAACAATAAAATCCGTTAAAAGTTCTGATAAAATCCTAAATAATGTCGCTAAAATCATCAAAATTCCGAATATCGGGGGCTACCGTTATATGGGGCTATACGAAGACGTGGACCTGCACAGACAATTTTCTGTTACAGGCTGTAGAATACATTGCGAACTTCAAATACCAAATTTGAAACAATTCCGGTAAATAATGTCGCTAAAATCATCAAAATACCGATATCGGGAGGTACGTTCTTATGTGGGCTATACGAAGACTTGGACTTACATGGCTCATTTTCTGTCTTAGGCTATAGTATCCATTACGAACTTCAAATACCAAATTTGAAACAATTCCGGTAAATAATGTCGCTAAAATCATCAAAATACCGAATATCAGGGGGTACCGTTATATGGGGGCTATACGAAGACGTGGACCTACATGACCCATTTTCAATACCAAAAGTCCTGCAGACAAAATACACATTTGAGTAAATATTTATCAACCTACTTCATTTCGTTCGGAAGCTAGAGTGATTTCCAGACGTGGACCTACATGACCCATTTTCAATACCAAAAGTCCTCCAGACAAATTACACATTTGAGTAAATTTTTATCAACCTACTTCATTTCGTTCGGAAGCTAGAGTGATTTCCACAGACGGACAGACGTATCGGTAAATCGACATAGATTTTTATGCTGATCAAGAATATTTACACTTTGTGGAGTCTAAAATGTATATTTCGAGATGTTACAAATGGAATGACAAACTTAATATACTCTCCATACTATGGTGGGGGGTATAAAAATGCATGATTATATTCCAGGAAACCCATGGCAAATAATCATTTAGGCCAGAAAATCGTAAAAATATTCCAAAAATTTGGACAAGTACCTTAGGACTACGAAAAAAAATTGTTCATTAATTATATGATTTTTTTTTATGCCTCTTCACTGTCAGAATTTTTATTTTATAGAACTTCCTTAGATATTGACGTATAACTGGCAACAAGTTAACATTTATTTCCAACCAAATATTTAGTCATTTTCTCTCCTTTTTATCTCCTATTATGGAAGAATATAGTAATCTAAAACAGAAAACAAAAAAAAAATCAATTTGCTGTAGCCAGGACAAGTATGAAGATCGACAATATCTCAATTTGTATTGCTAAAATACTGGTAACTTGTAATAAATTTTTCCTACTTCCTTCGAAGTTAAACTCTCTTACTGCTTATGCCATGACTATAGAATACATAAAAGGCTATTTTGACTGGCTGGAGTCATCGTCTGGCTTCTTCGGAAAAGAACAAAGGAGCGTAGGGCCAAATTGAACTTAGTCAACCTACAACTCCTTTGTTCTTCTACGAAGAAACCAGCCGATGACTTAAGTCAGTCAAACAAGAGTTTTAATGTATTCTAACCTTAATGTTTAATAAATCAATTATTGGAATAAAACACAAGAGAATTAATATACACGGTATATCACCAACGTAGGCATAAATGTCTTCGGAACAATTTTAGGGAGAATGGGGTTGGCCCAACCATCAAAAAATGGATTTTCAACAAAAATTCCATAAAACTATCTAGAAATTTACCATTTCCTTTCATCCTGGCTACTTCGGTGCTGTATATGTAAATAACCTATTGAAAATATGGTACACACATGGTACAATGAAGAGAAGATAGGTCAACTTTGAAAAAATTGCAAGTATAGAGGTCTACCTGTTTGGCTTGTAATGTCCGAATTAGTATCAAAACAATAAAAAAGCAAACAACTTGTTGCAATGATTTTGAATAAATAATTTAAAACCGCGAAAACTGAATGAAAAGTCAAAATTTCTTTTCAAAATCATGTTCTATATATCTCTTATGGTTTATTTCGCGACAAAAGCTGTAGATTTTGTCGATGCATACGTCGCAATAAGCATTTTGAAAACACCCGAATTTGAATATTTTCTGAACCATTTTTTTATATTGAAAAGAATACACACACATAAACAAATGAAGTTGGCATATTAAGCCAGAAAAATAAAAAAAATTAAATCATATGGTAGTTCTGCCCTACCTTGAATTCATTGTACCATCGGTACACATTTTTTATCAAATAATTATACCTTTTTCACAATTCCTTTTTTAGAAATATTTCAATTTTTTTGTAATTTTCCTTTAGTTTTGCAAGTGAAATTTTTGATACCTACTTTTTCTTCCTCGGAATTATTTTCAAATATCAATTTTTGTATATGAAAGCAAAATTGGATTAAGCATTCTCAAAAATTTTGAGCGTTCATACTAAACTTATTCGATATGTACTAAAAGTTATTAAATAAGTGTGATTTTGAAATTTGGTACAATTTTTAAAATTTGAAATGCGACATATTTGTTATAAAAACAATTCAGTTGTGGATTAAATTAGACGGATTAAATTAAACAGATAATTTTTTTTCGGGCACAATTGCCTTAAAAATGTAATAATTTTTGTCCCTCGAGAAAACCCATATTCCCACTTTTTTTGTCCTTACTTTTATTCTCTTTATAAGGTATCCTATAAAACAAACAGATATAACAAAAACAATGATTTATTATTGTTGTTAAAACAGGAAATAACTTCAACAACATTATGCAATTGGGCGTATAATTAATTTAAATCAAAAAACTAACAGTGACGTATGAGTAATCAACTCACACACAGACGCATACGTCACATAACCTCAAATATACAGCAAAACCAAATACTGACATTAAAAACTCGCCATTGTAAACATTAAACAATACACACAACTTTTTTTTATAACTTCTTTGTTTAACATTTCAACCCATTCATGATTTTCATATTTGCTCTCATTTTATTACAGCTCCCCGGCCACCAAAAAAGAAGAAAGGAGAAAAAACACCCAACGCCAACTGACAACGCAGTTGCTTTGTTTAGCCGCTTCCCACCTCCTACTCTGGACTGCAAATCCTCTGACGCCTTTATTTTATTGTGGGATTTCCTGGTCCTTTTGTTTTGATTTTCGGTTTAACGGCCATCATCATCGCCACCGCCACAACCACCTGTAAAACTTCCACAATTCCCAAAATGTTCGATATCAAATCCATTTGCCACTTAACAATTTTATTGCTGTCATTCTGTTTTATGCTGGTGCATTGTTCGCTGGAGCCTACAGATCAATTTCTAGATAATCCCACAGATGTCAAACAAGGTGAGTGCGTTTGGGTGTGTGTGTGTGAGTATGGGAAATAAAAATCAAATATGAAGACATATTTTATATGAATTTATTTCTGTGTGTTTAATGTGTGTGTAAAGGAATGAAAGTGGCAAGGTAACTGGTAGAGAGTATTTAAAGAAATGACTTTTGATATAAAAGAGAATGGACAAGTTTTTAAATTGAGATATATATTATCAAACATTTTATAAAAAACTCATTTCCCAGACTAGGGCCACCTTAAATCACGGACAATGTCAAAACATGTAGTAAATATCTATTTTAGGCTGCTACTGAAAAGTCGATATTGCTATTTTTCCACTATTTTAGAATTTCTATTTCAAAGTCGACTTACGTATCCCTACTAAAAAAGCCCTGTCCCTTTCTATATTTAAGACTCATTAGGTCTTTCTTTTTTAAGAGACTACTTTATATTAATAGATCTGCAAGATGTCTTCTGCTCCTAGAAGATAATCTGTCTAAAGCAAAATTGACTTTGCTATTTTTTCCACTGACCAAAATCGACTTCGAGTTTTATACTTTCCAACGCCAAAAGTCGACTTACGGATCCCTACTAAAGACTATTATGGCTCGATTATGCATTGCGTTGCGTTATCTGTTGTCAGCGCGACTGAAATAAAATGTTGTATTATAGAAGGCAACACAATTGAGTTGTCGTTATCGATCAGTGTATTTTCCATCTTGTGAACTCTAAACTTCAAAAATGTCAATAAATTCGAAATAACAAAACACAATTTAAACAATAAAAGAATTTTAAAATGATAAGTTCAGTGGAATTATTTTTTGATGAAGAAGAAAATGTTCAGGGCGTTGCATCTATTCAACGAAGCTTGAGAGATAATTCCACCTCAACATTTGACACTATTTCTATCCCATCTTCAACCCATGTCTCCATTATTCCGTAAATGGCACCTGTAGGATATGTTACTAAATTTATTTGTAGTAGATCTGCTGCGGTTTGTTCCAACGGCGATAGACGCACTTCATACTCTCTGCCATTCTTCTGGTGTCCTTGTTGGTGGACCATGACTGTTTAGGTTGTCGGAAATTTTCTTCCACGCTTCATCTGCAGTGGCTTTGGTTTCACCAAAGACACGGATTCCTCGAGCTAAGTTTGGATTAGCACCCATTTTTTCTATAAGTATTTCGAACTGAGGTTTTGTTGTTACTTTCACCATATTTAATCTAAAATGATAAACAAAATGATTTAGAAAATGTGTATTTACCTCTCTCTTTCTCTTTCTTCTTTGAAAAAGTTCACTGCAACTGCAAATAGATGGTTGCTCAAATATGGCCGCTGTAGCAACTGAAATTCGCAACTTCAGTTGAAAGTTGCCATACATAATGCAATTTTCGCAACTGGCAACGCCACTCAACGATAATTGTTATAAATAATCGGGCCATTAGAAATTAAATTAAATTATTAAAGACTAATTAGAACTTTCTTTTTTAAAATATTTTCCATTAAGAGGCTTGCAAGAGGTCTTCTGCTTCTGGAAGAGCTATGAAACAACTTTTGTCTACAGAAGATCTTCAAAAGATAATTTCTCTAAAACAAGTCTGTAAAAGTCTCCTTTCTTAAAAAGGTCTGTTAAAAGTCTTCTGCTGCAGAAAAGTCGGTTTTGCTATTTTTACCACTGGCCAAAAACAACTTTGAATATTAGACTTCGTAAGACCAAAAGTAGACAAAAGCCCTGGGGCCTAATGCTCGTACTCGATATAGAGTGAGATTTTGTTCGAAGTTAAATTACGATCCGTAGTTACTAATTGAATGATACGACTCGAATGGAATTATTCAAAAATTTATCGATTATTGTCAAAAAATAATCGAAATACCGACAATCGAAACATATGTTTTCATCCAAAAAGTAAACAAAACAATTGTTTGCCGCTTCATTAAAAGTTGAAAAAAATTATGGATACGTGTTTTTTTGTATTATCCTCTTCGGAAGATGAGGACGGTAATAATATAAATATAATAAGAAGACAAATTCGAGAACGTAGTGCTGCTTCCAGTATAAACTCTTCTGATTGGGTGATGAGTTTTTCTTCATATGGGCCTCCACCTGTCTGATTCTTTGATGCCTTGTTAAAGGATAATTTCTTCTTAACATGTTGTTTTTGGTCTGCATAAACCTTGGAAAGGAAAACTGTGAAACATAATTTTTCATACCACTTTTCAATATATACCTTTCGCCACAAGGTGACATTCTTTACGGGTGGTCCTGCTCCATTTAATTTGGTTGTCAACTGCTCCCACAAACGATTGGATGACGCTCAACCTTCTGGACAATTCGAAATTTTTCCTTTGGCAAGTCCCGGGTGGTCAGACATAAAATCTGCCATAATTGCCTTTTGCTTAAAATTTATTTTGTTGCAATTCGTGCTCCTGTGAAATAAAAGGCTCAATTATATCCATTTTATTTATATAATTAAAGTATTAAAAAATGTATACTTACATTTCGTTTTTCTTCTGTTTTGTTTTGGTCTCGACAGGTAGAATGTGGCGGGCAAAAACTCGAATAGTTTTATTCGACATATCGATAAATTTTATTCGATCACGGATACGGTAATCCAAAAATTCAAATTATCTATCGAAACAACTCGATATCGAGTACGAGCATTAGGCCCCTGTTCTTTGAATAGCCTTAGCCTTTCCATTACGAGACTTGCAAGAAGAGCTATAAAACAAGTTTCGTCTAGAGAAGAACTTCAAAAGATAACCTGTCTAAAGCAAGCTTTTAAAAGTATCCTGTCTAAAAAAGATCTGTTAAAAGTCTTCTGCTGCAGAAAAGTCGGTTTTGGTATTTTGCGAGAAGTCTTCAGCATAAAGAAGGCCTGCAAAGCCCCGTACAATATTTGTTGCGTGGTAGAAGAATACAGGTGATATGTCAAAAATTTTAAAATGTTTCTTTTTTTTTCAAAAATAAGTTATTTTGATGTGCTTTCTTATACGGCACAAATCGGAGGCTGTTTTGCTACATATATTTCAACAATTTTACAAATTTCAATAATTTTTCATTCAAAATTTTCAATTCCAAAATTTATTTGACAGTTCATTGTCCCTGCAGCTGTGTCCATGTATTCTTCATGGTTTGTTGTCTGGAAAAGACTAGGGATATATAAGTCGAGTTTCGATCAATAGTCTTTAGATATCATAATGGTAGAATTTTATCATGGTAGAAGAATATGGGCAGATACAACAACGATTAAGAACATTGATTTGTCAAATATTTTGAAATGTTTTTTTTTTTCTTCAAAAATAAGTAGATTTTTATAAATTTAAAAATTATACTACGATAATTAATTCTCACAAAGGAGGTTAATCCGACAAAAAGCTTTAATATAAACTAACTATAAAAGCAAATGTCGACTTTTGTCTGTCGTAAAAATGGCAAAATTGATATTTCGCAAACGATTTTCGATTCTGGTATTATGTTTGGTCGAATTTTCAGTTTATTGCGAGGCAAAAAATATTCCGTTTGTAACATATCGAAATGTACATTTTAAGCCCCACAAAGTATATATGTTCTTCATCAGAATATATATTCTTGATCATAAAATTCTATGGCGATTTAGCGATGTCCGTCCGTTCGAACGAAATGAAGTGGGTTGATAAAATTGTATTCAAATGTATATTATGTCTCCAAAACTTTCGGTATTGAAAATGGGCCAAAACGTGAACCTAGTCTTGGTATAGCCCCCATATAATGGTACCTTCCTATTTTCGGTATTTTGGCGTTTTAAGCGACATTATTCACCGAAAATGTTTCAAATTTGGTATTTGAAGTTCGTAATGGATACTACAGCCTATGACAGAAAATTGTCTGTGCAGGTCCACGTTTTGGTATAGCCCCCCATATAATGAATGGTACCTCGCTATATTCGGTATTTTGATGATTCTAGCTACATTATTCATCGATTTTTTCAAGATTCGCATTTAAATAGTGTAATAGCTTATGACAAAAGTTGCCCATGCAGGTCCACGTCGTCGTATAGTCCATATTATAACGGCTACATTCGGTATTTATGAGATTTTAACAGAATTTTCTTCGGATTTCATTTTTTGAAAATTGCCAAATTCGTTCCAAATGTTGGAGGGTATTGAAAGTTCGACTCGACCGAAATTACAGCTCCTGTGCTGTACAATGAACATCGAAACCAATTTTTAAATTAAAATTATTTGAATTTGTTAAAATTGTTTGAATTTGTTAAAACAAACTTTGAATTACGTCGAATAAGAAAAAATGTGTCAAGACCAGCGCATTAAAAAATAATATTTTTTGACAAATTATTGCTCCCAAGCATTGATGCATTTATCTGCCATGAGTTTGATGTTATATTCTTATAATAATGATATTTCCATATTTAGGCTTAAGACGAGAATACATAAAACGCTTTTTTGAATGACATAAGTCATCGTCTGGCTTCTTCGTAGAGGAACAAAGGAGTTTTAGGTTAACTTAGCTCGATACGCTCCTACGCTCCTTTGTTCTTTTCCGAAGAAGCCAGCCAATGACTTATGCTAGTCAAAAATAGTTTCATGTACTCTCACCTTTATTTATTTTTCAATTATCTTATCCTATAACCCTTCGAAGCCCTAGTTTGTTTTCAACTTCAAACCCCCTCCTCGAACGCCATCATGACTTTCCATATCTAGGTTAACAGAACTGTAATCGAATACCCTTTAAATTGTTACCACCTTCTAATGCCGTTTGTTTTCTTTTCTTCTCATCCTCTTTTATTTTTTTCTTACTTCTTTTTCTTGGAATTCTGCCGGCCAAACCACATTTATTCACCTGAAATACGAGCAGATGTCTTAACAATGCACAAACGTCCGTCATTCTTTGTGGGCAGTCGCTATGGCCGATCATCTGGCGGTGCTTCATCATCATCGGTGGCCAGCGGTGCTTATGCACCATCGAAAACCCGACGCCTAAATGTGGTGCCACGCAATGACAGATTCTTTTTGGGCTCACGTTATGGCAAACGAGCGGGTACGCAATTTGAAAATCTCGAACCTATGGAATCAATGTTAGCGACACCCTATGAACAAGCTTTGTTTTCAGAGATCTCCACCGGCACCCAGTTGAGTAATAAGCCGGCAGCCGTGGCTGCAGCAGCAGCAAAACCATTGATGCTAATGAATAACGAGTACTCGGCCGAGGGTGAGGGTGATGCAGCAGCTGGCGGTGCATCGACACCCTATATGTCTTGCGTCTACACTGGTTTACAGAATTTCTATCGCTGTAACAGTATGTAAGTTAAAGGTTAGAACACACACATTTATTTCCAGATTTTGAAGTGTTACATTAATGGAATATTTAACGTTTTCTTCTCTTTCATTTTGCAAAGTGTATATTGGGGTGTAATGAGATTTAAGTGTTTAAAACTTGTATATATTTAAACATTATTAAGTTAATTTTATCATTTTTAACTAATAAGGGGTAGAAAAATGATAATTGAATAAAATACCTGTAACCCTGAATTTCATTAATTGTTTCGCAGAGGAAAACTTTGTTTCCGAACATTATTGCACCCCCAAATAATTTAACATTCCTGGCTATGTTATTTTATTAATATTACGCCGACATTTTTTTGGGAATAAAATAAGCAGGCAAATCCAACTGTTCTTCAAAACTTATAAAATTCATTTTCTTTTAATCCTGAAAATATTTGTTTTATTTTTCTAGGATTATCCCATACAATATTGCCCTGCTTGTTTCCCTATACAGAGCCAATATATTTTGAAGTTGAGCCTATTACCAAACCTCATGATTTGGAAATCGACTTCAGCTTTCGATCACTGACCGAAGAATGACGATTTTTTCCCTAGGTAAGTTAAAAAACTTTTGATGCCTAAGGAAAAAATGTTTGCGATTCACGGAACTTGTTACGAAATAGTGATCATTTGACCTTTTTAACTCGGCCGCCGTCTCGGCCGCTCCTCTGAGCTCTTACTTGTGATTTGAGCTTAATTTAGTCGAAATGCTGCCAAAGTAACTTTATACAGATACATTAGCTGCATCACTTAGCAAGGTTATGATTATTCAATATTTTGGCCCCCAGAAGGTAGGGAAAAATAAAGCTACCTTTTATACACACAGGGTGGAATAAAAAAAAAACCTGCAACAAAGTCAAACGCCATAATTTTTAAATTTTATTGAATGAAAGCAAAAATGTCGGAAATAGCATCAAATTGTAAAATAAGTTTAGATTTGTTCGAATTGCACGAATTATGGCTTTCAAACGGCCAATGAAATCGTCACACGCTGTCCGAATGTTGCTCTGCGATATTTTGGCCCATTCCCGGCGAAACGCTTGCTTGAGGTGATCGACACTTTGGTATTTTTTAGTGCCAACCTTGCTTTCCAAAACACTCCAGACACAATAGTCCAACGGATTGGTATCCGGAGATTTTGGTTGCCATTGTGCGTTGAAAATGAAGCCTCATTTGGTGGCACGATGGTGCAGCCAAAATGTCTTCGTGCCCAAGGCTTTAATACATCTTCCAGAATATTTTCGCGATAATATTCTGCATTTATTCTGATGCAGCCATCGGCTGTTATGGCGGCCCACGCAATTACCACGGTCGGCGCTTGAGTTCTTGTGGCCAACCGAAGTTGCACATTTTCAGCTGACCTCTTAGACAAGTAAACACGATCATTTTGTTTGTTTACAAACTGCTGGACAATGAATGTTTTCTCAGCGGAGAAAACCAAGTTCGGCAGCTCACCACTTTCAGCCAAGCGAAGCAACTCTTTACATCTTTTGAGTCTTTCTTTCACTTGCGGTGTAAGTTCTTGCACTTTTTGGAATTTCCATGGCTTTACCCCGAGCTCGTTTTTTAATATTTGCCGAATGGAATATTGCGATATGTTCAGCTCATGAGCCATTTTTCGGTCACTGACAGCAGTCTGAAGTTGGTTGCAGTTTTTTCATCTCACCCTGAATATTTATATAAAACGGTTCCTCCCGATATTCGGTATTTTGATGATTTTAGCCACATTTTTCAACATAATTGTCTGAAAATCGAGACAAGGAGTTCCTTGTGAGTACTTTCTTCCCTAGAAGATAATTGTCTATATAGGTCCACGATATCGTATAGTCCCCATATAACGGTAACCCCCGATATTCGGTATTTTTATGATTTCAGCCAAAATTGTCAATGGAATTGTCTTAAAATCCACACAAGGGGTTCCTTCTGAGTACTTTACCCTCATAGGAGAGAATATTCTTCATAGGTCCACGTTTTAGTATAGCGCCAGTACTCCCAGATAATAGGTTTTTTAATGATTTTTGTGACATTATTCACCGGAATAGTTTCAAATTTCGTATTTGAAGTTCGGAACCGTTACTACAGCCTATGACAAAAATTACATATGCAGGACCACGTCTTCGTATAGCCCCCCGTCTAACGGGTTTCATTTGAGCGGCGTTTTTCGATGGAATTGTTTTTGAAATTTTTCAAGTTTCTTCCAAATGGCGGAAGGTATGAAAAATTTGGCCCGGCCGAACTTCTTGTGTATTGGTCTGTTCCAGAACCTGCAAGAATCTACTAGTTTGCAATTTTTTCGAAAGTTTTACGAGTTTAAAAAGTTTTACATTCTTGCAGTTCTGGAACTGGGCATATGTAAACAAACATCAGCTAAGTCGTGGTACAATAAGGAGGTAGAACAGCTTTGTAATACAAAAGAAATACAGCCCTGAGGCTATTCCCGCTTCCTGTCAGACAAGGTGTTTTCATTTATTTTTTTCATTTTTAAAATAAGTCTAATATCGCGGAAGATAAATGAAATGCCTGGATATTCTCTCAAAAATATGATCCTAAGCGTTCAATCTTTTAATTCCGTGGCAAATCTGGTTAATATCATAAATGCGCGCCCCAGAATTTAAGTTTCTTCCAATCCTTGATTTTGAAATTTTTTTTTTTATTTTTCAAAACAATGAATACATACATAAAATTGGCATATGTCGGGCACACTTAGAAAAAAAATTGTAATCAGCTGGTAGCTTTACCTTACCTTTTTATTGTACCATGAGATAAGTGATAGTTATATTGTCCTAATGCCCTGTTTATATCGAACACATTTTAGTAAAACGGTTTTATTTGCATTGTCTCACAAAAGTATTGAATAAAGGTATAGCTTACATGTAATGGAATTGCCAAGTTTTAAGGATTGTGCGGGTAGCCGATTTGGTCACAAATTGTTGTTCTTTTATTGACAAACCAGCAGGTTTTGACCTGATCCTATTCTTATTCATAAAAATCACTTTGATTGTTCGTGTAGTCATAATCTACAACAGTTCGTGTGTCTGAATTATTTATTTTGAATCCTTGCGAGCTAAAGTTTCAGAAGCAATCTCACACTACCCCTGACATACATTTGCAAATTGGAAAGAAAGAAATGATAAAAAAAATCGAAATATAATTACGATATTTTGAATCAAAAATTCTATAATAATTTTCTAGTGATGATAACATGTTTTATGTTAAAAATACAGTTAAGAATCATGCCGCCTACCAGAATTACAATAACAACAATTATAATAATGCTGATAACGATGTTCGCAATGATGTTGACGAAACTGATGACGATGATGAAACTAAAACTGAAACTGTTAACTCTGCTGTTGATAATGACGATTACGATACTGATGCTGATGCTGATGGGGGAAATGCTGGTCGCAGTGATGGTGTTGTCAATGAAGTACTCTCAACGGATGCAACAGAGGCTGTTGGCAATGGGATTGGAGGTGATAATGATTTAGCTGTACTTTTTAATGATGTCAATGGTAAAAATTGAAAAGAATAAAAAAAAATGTGTTTGAATTTCTCAAAGAGCCTCCATACCTCTACAACAACATCCACCCACCTACATATGACCGTATTGCATATGTCTTGCTTGCAAAGATATCCCTCTCAAAGAATGAAACTGAAAACTGAACATAAATATTTAATTTTAAGTATGAAAAGCCAACACTTATAAAATGTCTACCTATGTACGAGTACATATACACAACACACTCACACATTTACATGCAGCTATACTAGAATTAAAATTTAAAAAAAAATTATATTAAACCAATAATAAAATAGGGCTGGATAAAGTTTAATTCTAGTACATACACATACACAACCATGTTGCATGTTATATTCAATTTGAAATCAACAGAAAATCAGCAGAGCTAAAAAAATAAACTTAAACAAGTATCATTGTATATAGTAGTTACATTAAATCAAATTTATGTTTACAAAAAAAAAACATGTATTCGTAAAAATAACAAAACTCATGTAAACCCCCAAACCGTAAGAATTTATAGAATCAAACAAATACAAATATTAAATGCAAATTTTTGTGTCAAATCTATATTTATTTCATTTCTATTTGTTGTTATTTATTTGTTGTATATTATTATATATTATTGGATAAAATAAAAAAAAAAACCCGAATTCTTAATGAATTACCTATAATAATTATAAATATACATGAATGTATTATTAAGCTATTAGTAAAGATATCTAAAAGGAATATGAAGGAATAGCAACCAAACCAAAAAAAAAAACTATGTAATTGAAAATCAAATTAACGTTAAAGTAAACAAACAACAAAAAAATAATATATATATACATACATATATTACAAGTGAATAAATGCACAAATATGCCAAAAATATGAGCAAATTTAAAATGACTGTCTTTGATTGTAAATTAAAGGATCAGAGGTTGGTATAAACATGATTATACTCTACACCACATAGTGGTTTTTTGTAACATGGAGAAGGAAACGAGATAGACCCATAGTTCCTTTTGGTGATCAGTATAGAATCACATTTTGAGTCGATTTATGCATCTCCGTCTGTCCATGTATTTTTGTAAGCAAAATGCAGGTCACATTTATTATTCGATTGAGATGAAATTTTCTAAATAACATTTGTTCGGCTCAAGGTCGAACGCTATTGAAATTTGTGAAAATCGGTCCAGATTTAGCTATAGCTCCCATATATATCTTCCCCCGATTTTAGGTTTCTTGTAAACCAAATGGCTAATATCAGTGAAAATGGTGTGAATTTTGCTACATCTGACCGAATTCAAATTTGGTGAAAATCGGTTCAGATATAGCTATAGCTCCCATATATACGTTTCATCCGATTTTGGTATTTAAGTCCCTTACATTCGTAATATACACCCCACAAAAATGATATTTAGTACCAGATATCAGATACAGCCCAGCAATAGATGATTCCAATGTTATCAAGATCGGATCAGATTTGGATATAGCTTCCCTATATACACTGGTGGCCAAAACTAAAGCAACTGAAATTACAAGGAGAATGAATGCCCTGTAACTTTTTCAAAAATTAAGAAAATGAGAAAGTTTTTCTTGTTTTAGATTAGGTACTTTATTCACTTTTTAAAAACCTAAAACATAAAACCAAAATTCATTTTTATATAAAAAATAATGTTTGGTAAAGTCAATTAACCCGATTTTGGCTTGGACAAAACAAAAGCAACTCTGTTGTACATTCATATAACCGCTGCAATTTCAGTTGTTTTTACTGTGATATTTATCGCTTTTTGCTTCCTTCGACAATTTCGCTTGTCATAAATCCTTTTTGAGAAGTTTTTTACAACAGTATGTGTTTTTCTTTTCGTTTTTTAAGTACTGCACAAAAAAAATTTTAAAATGGTTAGAAGCAAATACAGTACCTGAATAAAACAGCAAATTATCAGTGACTATCAAAACAACATATCACAGAAAATGATTTCCGAGAAATATTTCATAAATATTTATGTGATTTCATAATTATTTCTGTATACTAAGTCGGTTTTTTGAAACTGGATCAGTAGTAACAGTCTATAACGAATGAAGACCGTGAAAAACTTCAGAGAAATAAAAAAACAACTATTTAAGAGTTCAACTGGATTGGTGAGAGAGCAATCATGGGATATAAGCTCGAGATCAGTGCGTAGACGAGTAGTGGCAGCTGGTCTGCATACCCGTATGACATCAAATAACCATTTATATCTGAAAAAATCAAAAAGGCTTTCGGAAACGATAATATTAGGTGGAATCAAGCTTTATATACATTATTTCTGGGATGAGTCTACGTTTAATATTAAAGGCTCAGAGGTGAAAATTTTTACGGTGAGAAGACCAAAAAAATGAAGTACTCAAGTTGCGGGAGTCAAAAATTCATGTTTTGTTATGGCCGGCACAATCACCTGACCTAAACTCCTTAAAAAAACCTTTGGAGTATAGTAGATGGGAAGATCAAGAGAGATTCGGTAATAAATAAGCACAACATTTTCTAAAGAATTCGGGGTACCTGGGAAAGCACACCCAAGGATCAAATTGAGCGTGTTATAGATTCAATGCCTCGTAGGTGTGCATCTGCTATCAAAAATAATGGTTATGCTATCGACTACTAGCCAAAATGTAATTATTTTAAAATAAAAAATCAAAAGTTGCTTTAGTTTTGACCAAGCAAAAATTGGGCCATTTTAGTTTTCCACATATTATTTTTCGTTCAAAATTATTTTTGTATTTTTATTTTTAGTTTCTTAAAAGTGAATTAAACCCCTCATTTAAAACTGGAAAAATAATTACGATTTGTTTATTTTTGTAAAACTTACTTACTTGGTTTTGGCCACCAGTGTATATATTAGTCCGATTTTACGTTTCTTGTGCACCAAATGGCTAATTTCAGCCCAAAGTGAGTGAAATATTGCATTTCCAAGCTAATTCATTTAAGAAGTTAATACTTTAAATTTGTTGAAAATCGCTTCAGATATAGCTACAGCTTCCATATATATGTTTCATCCGATTTGTTTTTTAAATCTCTAACTTTCGGAACATGCATTCTACCATAATCATATTTTGTACCAGATATCTCATAGAGCTCAGAAATGCCAAATATAAACCTTTCTTTTACGAGAGCTCTACTAAATATGCATAGTGGTGTAGGGTATTTGTATATAAACCATGGTAGAAGAATATGGGTAGATGCATCAACGCTTGGGAACATAGATATGTCAAAAAATTTAAAATGTTTTATGAAAAATAAGTGGATTTTTAAATGTTTTTTATACGACGCAATGAATTTTTCAACAATTTTTACAAATTTTAATAATTTTTCATCCAACATTTTCAATTCCAAAATCGGTTTGACATTTCATTGCCCCAGCAGCTGTGTCGATGCGACTACCTATATTATTCTACCATGATATATGCTAGGAACACAATTGGAGCGAACGACGAATTTCGCCCTACGCGGCGACAAAATGAGCCGCGAAAATTCGTCGTATGGAACACAATACCGACGAAATTATAAAACAGCTGACGAAGTTGTTTACTTTTTGCTCATTTGTTGACTACAATGAATTATACAAGAACACATAATTCTTTACGTTCTCTATTATAATTTCACTTATGTCCATCTTCTCTATTATAAATTCACTGATATCCATCTTCACTCAGGCGCAAGTACACAAATAAATAAACAAATTAATTATGTTTTTTTTATACGAGTAACAGATAGTAGAGTGACCATAACAAATTTTAAAGTAAAAAGTAACTTTATTTACTAAAACACATAAAATTCGTACAAGTATGGCCACCTTGTACTGTTTTGTTCGCCGGTCGCCGGCGTATGAAATAGAAATAAAGCTAATTGAGTTCGCGGCGACCGACGAAATTTTCGCCGGTGCCGTGATTGTGTGCACTTCCATATACACATATGTGTTTTATTTTTGACGACGAACATACGCCGCGAAAAAATTCGTCGTTCGCTCCAATTGTGTTCCTAGCAATAAATGTACTTTTATAGTATGTTTACATTAGTGGTTTTTGTTTTTCTATTCTTCTAATAATACCCACAAATAAGTCAAACAAAAGATCTAAAATCTAAATAGATTCTTGTCGGCATTGGCTTGAACCATGGTAAAATTAAGAAGGTTAAATCAATTCAAAAACGTTCCCATCTTTTCATTTTCTGTAATTTACCTTTTCAAATTTAACTGCATAGCAAGCAGTTTCCCATCTCTGATTAGTGTATTACAGGGTGAGATGAAAAAACTGCAACCAACTTCAGACTGCTGTCATTTCGAAGCAACTCGTCCGACAGCTGTTAAAATTAGTTCAGTGAGAGCTCATTATATTGTTTACAAGTGTAAAAAGGCATTTTGGTGAGATTTTTTCAGCAAAAAAACTTATTCGTGATGGAATTCAAGCGTGGTAGTGTAATTTCTTTATAATTGCCTGGAAAACCACAAGTGACTATCGTTAGAGCACTCCAGCATTTAAATGTAAATAAATCTTCTGTGTCTCGTACCATCGCTCTTTACCATGATACTGGTAGCGTAGCCCGACATCAGGGAAGTGGACGGAAGAAAAGAGTAAGATTAGCAGAAATGGTTCGAAAAGTAAAGAAACGACTTGATCGAACCCCGCGTCGCAGTGGCCGAAAAATGGCTCGTGAGCTGTACATATCGCAATATTCCATTCGGCAAACATTGAAAAAATGAGCTCGGGATAAAGCCATTGAAATTTCACAAAGTGCAAGAACTTACACCGCAACAGAAAGAAAATAAACTCAAAAGATCTAAATAGTTGCTTCGCTTGGCCGAAAGTGGTGAAATGCGAATTCGGTTTTCCCCGATGAGAAAACATTCGTTGTCCAGCAGTTTGTAAACAAATCTGAAAATGTGTACCTTCGGTTGGCCACCAGAACTCAATCGCCGGCCATGGTGATGGTGTGGGCCGCCATAACAGCCAATGGTCACTCTCCGTTCGTATCAATCGACCGTGGCATCAGAATAATTGCCGAATATTGTCGCGAAAATATTCTGGAGGGTGAATTACAGCCTTAGGCACGCAAACATTTTGGCCGCAGACCTTGGACATTCCAACAGGACTCAGCACCATCGCACTCAGCACGCGCCACCCAAGATTGGTTACAAAATGAGGTTCCTCGCTTCATTTTCAGTGCACAATGTCCGCCAAAATCTCCGGCTACCAATCTATTGGACTATTGTGTCTGGAGTATTTTGGAAAGCAAGGTTGGCACTAAAAAATACCAAAATGTCAATCACCTCAAGCAAGCGGTTCGCCGGGATTGGACCAAAATACCGCAGAGCTACATTCGGGCAGCGTGTGACGGTTTCATTCGTGCCAAAGGTGACCAATTCGAATAAATCTAAACTTATTCGAAAATTTGATGCTATTTCCGACAAAAATTAAAAATTATGGCCTTTGACTTTATTGCAGTTTTTTTTTATCTCACCCTGCATAGTGGACATTTTCGAAACCATCTCCATATGTCCAGGCTACCCTTGAACAACGACCCTAATACCAAATTTCAGATTTCAAGAACTATTTGTTCACCAAATACCAAATTGTACCAAATATAGTACCATTTAGTACTTTTCGTGCATTTGTACTACAAATTTCCAAAACCACCTCTGCATCACAAACCTGAAACCAACAGGGATCTCAATACCAAATTTCAGCTACATCCGTTCACTCTAACCCAAACTGTTCCAAATTTAGTATCATTTTGTACAGTTCGCACACTTTGTTCTTATTCCCAAAACCACCTTCATATAGCCAACTTATTTTCCAAACTTAATTCTAATACAACATTTCAAGTTTTTAGCTCTATCCGTTTACTTGATATCCGTACCTAACTTTTCGTAACCTTCAAGTTCGAATTTCTGAAAACCCTTGGCACATCGAAACTGCACTACAAGTTTGTTGTCAAATTGTTTGCAATAGTAATTTTCTTGGTTAAGGGACTTCTTAATCTATATATATAAATGAAAGTTGTGTTAGTTACTACGCTTATAACTTAAGAACCGCTGAACTGATTTTAATGATTCATACAAATTCGGAATTGTCTCTAATCCGAAAAGGATAATATCCAAAAAAAATCGCGTAAAAATGTGATATGTTAACATTTTCATTTTGACTTTTTAAATGTACAATAGTAATGTTTTATTTTGCATGATTTTTTCCATTTTGACTTACTTTTTTCTAATGTACATTTGTAGTGTTTTTTTTTATATTTTATTTTTGAATTCGAATATTAATACCAATTTATTTAAATGACTTGATTTCTTGATGGCGGGTTACATGGAAGTGTAGTACCGAATTATGTGGTGGCGAAACGGAATAGATGATACCGAAATAATTTAATGTGGTCACACCAAAGTTAAAAGATAATTACTTTTTCAAAATCGTTAAAAAAAATCACGAAAAAAGAAATTCTCAAAACGGATAAATATCGAAAAAAAAATTTCCAATGGAATTGAATTTTAAAATAAAAGTACATTCTATTGACAAACTTTGTAAGGATCTTTAAACAGTTGCTGTAAAAAATCAGCGAACAAGTTGAAGATTTTTTCAATTTGTCATTCTTCTTTTGTCAATTTTTTTCAATTTGTAATATCAGGGTCTACATCGTGCTTCAGCTGGAAGATGCGCAGACATTTAAACAAACAAAAATGACCGAAAAAGACTAATGGGGCTTATTTCACAGCGTGGTTCTACTTCTTTCATGTGACAATAATCCGTCCAATGAGAGCTCAAAATGCAAAAAATTTTTGGGAGTACAATCAGTAAAATACCAAATATAAAGGGTGCAAAATAATAGAGCGAATGGGACTTTTGGTAAGAAAAAGATTTTTATCCTTCCAAAAATTCTTCCTGAACATTTAAGATACCTTAAATCGCTTTTGCAAGTCATGATATCGATCATAAATAACTATCGTATGATTTAAGCTATTTTTGGAGTCTTCGCCACTTTCTTCTATTTTTGGCCCTTATGTGGCATCTTTGTTTCTAAGGGGGTAGAGAACCTCTTCGCATGAAATTTTCGGAGTAGGGCCCATATTGGTCTTGACCACTAAAAATATGTATTTATGCTACCCTGGGGTAAGGAACCATCGTACAGATAATTACCACATAGAAATTTATTCATGTAAAGTCCCCACATTGGAGTATCCCCAAGTCCATTTTCACATCTAATGTGTGGTCAGAAAAGAAAAAATTGTATTCTATTGAATTTGTAACCCCCAAGAGAATATTGGTTGGGAACGTAGATTTGGGATATATGAAATAAATTGTGAAAACATGAACAAATTACAAATATAAGAAAGTATCACGGTACCCAATATTTGTTGAATCGTCATTGAATTATGCTATGATGAAAAATATGGACTTTATGGGAGACCCCATATTTGCAATTTAAATGACAAATAAAATTAGTTCCCATATTACGGTAATGAGTGTAAAATAGTAATTATATTTGACTATTCTGAAATCAGTCTGACCTCACTTATGAGGTGGATAAAACTATTTTTACTTATTTAAATCACGTGATTTTTTTTTCAGTTTGACATGCTATGTTGTCCTGCTATATTTTCGATTTGGCCTCTATTTGTCATATTGGATTATAAGGGATGAAGAAAGTTTTCAATGTAGGTCGATGTTTCGCATTTTACCATATTTCAAAGGATTTGGCTAAAAATGTGTATTTGGGGGTGAAAATCTTACACAAAAATTTCAATATATCTACAAATTTTAGAATTTTCTCCATGTAATAGTACCCCCTCAAGTCCACCATTTGGCGGACAAACAGACCGACATGGTTAGGGGTACTTATGAGGACTCTAATGCACAATCTGAGGTGCTAATGAGTTTAAAAAAGTAATTAACTTTGGCTATTCTTTAATCAATTAGCCCTCAATTATAAGGTGTACAAAGTACAGTAAAATCCAAATTACTGCTCATTTGACTTAAAATTAAAAACTAATCGACCAGTACGTGAACATTTATAACATTCATATCTTTGAATAATTATGCTTTGACAAATATGCATAATAGACAAAAACTACTGGCCGGCAACGCGGACCGGGCCAGCTAGTTAATTAATAAAATTACAAAGACAATGTGAAATAAAAAAGTATAAAATATTTACATTTATTTGTTTTGAAGCAAACAACATTTTTCCATATTTTTGTTTTTCTTTTGTGTTTTTCAAAAACACAAAATTTTCTCATGGAAAATCATTAGCGTCTGTTTTAGGGAATTTGTTTCGCAAAGCAAATCCCGCATCAAACCTTTTCAGCAATTAAAACATAACATCGGGGCGATAATTCTTCGTCCATGAGCTTTTCATAGCACACATTGATATTGAGGTTCAAATCAGCAGCTGCCTCTTGCATAAAACACAGTCGGTCATAGAGAACCAAGTTTTCACATAATTTCTGAAAAAGGAAGGGGGAAAATTAAAAATATGACAATAAAATGTTCCACAATCGAAGTCTATTTCAACAAGTAAAACAATATCTGTCGGTTTTGCCGACAGATGTATATCCTCAGGCAATGTTCGATTATTTAAAAATATTTTGATTATTCAAACTTATGATCCTCTATGTAGTAGGTTCAGAAGGAGTAGGCAGTATTATCCATTTCTTATCGGTACTAAATAAATATGATATACAGGGTTGCCCATATTCGACGGACCCATCTGGCAACGCCATAACTTTTGACAGAGATGCCACATCGTTTAATGACATACCGCGTTTGAAGCGTCAGTCCAAGCAGATTTTTACCATGAACCAATACACGCCACGCGAGCGCTCTGAAATAGTTGAAATTTACAAGAAGTCAATTGTGAAAACTCAGCGTGCTTTTAAAACATTAAAAAATGTGAGAAGTGCGCCTTCTAAGAACACCATTAAGCGTTTATACGGAAAATTTTCGACTGGTAAGACTCTTTCTAATCCGAAGAGGCCATATAAAAGGCGATCGGCCGAGAATATCGCTGCCGTAAGAGCCAGTGTTGAGAGGCCCCCAAGAACATCCCAAAAACGCCGTTCTCAGCAGTTGGGCATGGCTCGGTCCACTTTACATCGGATTATTCGCATTGATTTGCATTTGTTCCCGTACAAAATTCAATTGACGCAATGAATGTTGCCTGCGGACAAGCCTCGTCGATTGGAATGGGCCCAAAGGGCCCAAAGATCCGTCGAATATGGGCAACCCCGTAAATATTGAGACGGTTTGGATTATATTGTTTACTTCCTTCACTTTATATGAAATATGTGATAATTTTTAGAAAATATATTGGACCGAAGTATTTAATTTTCACACTTCAACTATAAAATATTGGTATGGGAAAAATTACAAGAAAATCGGACATTTGTATCCAATTTTATGCGAAATTATAAAATCCATGTTCATATTTCTGGTTGATAGAAATATTTTAATATAGCAAGTTGTAAAGAATCGCTGAGTTGTTTCACAAGTTATGACAGATAAAAGTATTGAAAATTGTGACCTTTTGTGGGTGAGGTCCCAGAAGGGATTCGCAGATATTTATCACCATCACAAAAGATCTTGTGTTAGCAAAAATGTGTGCATGTGTAAAATCTGAAGAGAGTTGGGTGCCTATTACGCTTTCTTTAAGCGTTTTGTTTTTCAAAATCTTGAATCCTATGCGGGGGAGGCACCAAAAGGAGTGCACCGATATATTCCATCTTCACATCATATCTTGTGTTAGTAAAAATAATGGGATGTTCGCAATGGATACTACAGCCTAAGACAGAAAATTGTCTGTTCAGGTCCACGTCTTCGTATAGCCCCATATAACGGTACCTCCCTATATTCGGTATTTTGGTGATTTTAGCGTCTTTATTCACCAAAATTTTTTCAAATTACGCATTTAGAGTTCGTAATGGAAACTCCAGTCTGTGACAGAAAATTGTCTATGAAGGTCCAGGTCTTCGTATAGGCCCCATATACCAGTACCTCCCTATATTCGGTATTTTGACGAGTTTAGGTACAATACTCACCGAAGTTGTTTGAAATGTCGTATTTGAAGTTCGTAATGGATGCTACATAATATGACAAAAAATTGTCTACGCAGGTTCAGATCTTCGCACAGCTTCGACATAACGGTACCTCCCTATATTCTATACTTATATATTATATTCTATTATATTCTATACTTTGATGATTTTAGCTACATTATTCGCGTTTATTTCAAGTTCCGAATTTGAATTTGGTAATGACTCATGACAAATAATGTCTTTGTGGGTCCACGTCGTATAGGCACCAATATAACGGCAATATTCGGTATTTTTAAAATTTTACCAAAATTTTTTCAGGATTTTATTTCCAAATTCGTTCCAAATGGTGGAGGTTATTCAAAGTTCGGCCCGGCCGAACTTACTGCTTTTTAATTTGTTTACTTGTTTTTTTTTTTTAAATTTTGACCCTTTGTGGGGGATGTACGTAAAGGAATGGTCCGATCTCTACCATCTTCATAACAGATCTTGTGTTATCGAAAATGTTGAGATGTGTGAAATATAAAAAACACGGATGCTTATTTAGGATTTTATGATCATTTTGGTTATTCAAAACTTTAAACCTTTTTGTGGGAGGTACCAGACGGAATGATCCGATCTTTAATAATAATCAAAACTTTGACCCTTTGTGGGGGAGGTACCAGAAGGAGTGGACCGATATATTTCATCTTCACACCAGAAACCAGGTTAATAAAAATATTGTGATGTGTGTAATTTGAAGACAATCGGAGTCTTACATCACATTTTATAAGAGTTATAATTATTCAAAATGTTGACCGTTTGTAGGGGAGTTACTTGATGGAGTTGACTGATATTGTCTATTTTCTCATATGACCTAGCACTGATGCATATATTAGTATTTGCAAAGTTGCAGCAAAATCGGATTATAATTTCTCTTTTTGTGAAGTAAATTATTTTCTTTCAAAATTTTGATATTTTGTGGGGGGGAGGGGGGTGTACCAGAAGCAGTGGATCGATATCTCCGAACTCGTTCTAAGTTTGATAATAATATTACGATGCACCAAGTTTGGATCAAATCGAATAATCCTTTCGACAGTTATCGTGCGAACCAGCCAGCCAGACAGACGGACGGACATCGCTATATTGACTCCAAATATCCTTAAACGGGATTTGATTTGGGATTTGTATTTGGTCCAAAGAGACATAGGGTCTAAAAATGTTATTTCGATGAGACACGTTTTGGCCGTATCAAATGATATATACCCTATCTAGCCATATGGCTGAGGGTATAACTAGCCATATTACAAAAAAATAATTTTGGATTTCGACTTTGGTTTTCGATTTTGAACTGTTCATAACATATCAAGAACTGAAAGTGTCCCTATTCAACCATTGATAGTTGCCATTAAAAAATTATTTACCTGTATCGCAGTCTGCAGGCAGGTTAAACCTTCAGCCAGTCGTTCCCCATACGGGTACTGCTCCAATAGCATATTAAATGTCTTTTCATGCATCTCAGACCAATCCAACAACGCTCCATCAATTTTCGATTGCAAACGATACAAATGTCGAAAGTGATTAAAATCCAAAATATTTTCAGGCAATAAATCGATTTTTTCCTTGCACTTAACCACAATTTCCCTTTCCTTTCTGGGCAATGCTTCAGCAACGGCTCTCAGAAACATTTCTCGGCCATGGCGTGAATGCTGTTCGGCGGTGCAATTCTGCCATCTCTTCAGTGTTTGCTGACAGGCCAAACGCAGGAATGGACGATTTAAATATCTCGAATAATTATTGATGACACTGTCATTTTCCTTCTTCTGCTCCTCCTTTTCATATTCACTGCTGTCGTCTTCGCCCACAGCAATCACCTTTTGCAGACTACGACTCAATGGGAAATTGTCGAACCTTAAAGTCTTGGCACACATTTGCATTTTGTGATAGCAACAGGGCATGATTATCAGGTGACGTACTTCGGGCGTGTAAAGAAAAAGTTTCATGGAGGTAATTGTCAAGTCGGCACATGCATGTAAACCAATTATGGCTTGTGTGGTGGGCCGTAATGTATCATTGCCGTAGCCATAATTGGATTGTAAAAGTTCTGTTACATTCTCAGCTATAAAATCTTTGGAATTCTCGGTGATGAATTGCTGGCAATAGCGTATGGAATTCTTTGCCTTTGGCATATAGGCCTCCAACCGTTTCTCTGCCGCCTGTACACGCAACGGATCTGATTCTAGACCCAAAATTAAATAGTTTTCATTAAGTTTGTAAAGGATTTCACTTAGATAACCTAAACCACAACCAAAGTCAATTAAGACACATGATTCATGCTCCTGCTGCAATTCCCGGTGTATGGCTTGGGCTAGGCGTAAAATTTCATGACGTTTTTTCACATTCATTTTCTTAAAGTTTTCTGTTTTTAAATTTAAATTGTCTTCTAAGGGTGGAGGGTCTTCAAATGCTTGCTTTGGTATTAAAGAGCTTAAACGTCGACGAAATTCTTTTATGGGTGGTTCTTGAAGTGTAGTTAATGTCTGATGCACGTGGGGAAATTGATTTAGTTCATTGTTGTCTATATCCTGGAAATAGCTACGAAACTCTGTTGGCATATTGGCCAATATATTGGATTTTATAAAACATGTATTGGCTTCTTGGTAGATCCATGAAAATTCTTTAAGAAAACTTATGGACTCGAGAAAGTAGTCATCTGGTGTTGTAAAGCCTTTTGGTAAACTCATATCTGAAAACAGGAGAAAAATAGGGAGGAGGTTTTTTTTATAAAAAATAGTTAAAGAACTAAAATAGCTATCGTTATACAAAAAATAGTCTTGCAAATGTAAAACAGTGTAAGATAAAAAAAAGAAAAAAAACTGCAGCAATGTCAAATGCCATAACTTTTACATTTTTATACCCTACAACACTATGCGTTGGGGGTATTATAAGTTTGATTGGGCCAGAATTTATGTAACACCTCGAAATATTGGTTTCCCACATAGGAAAGTATATATGGATCTTCCTAGCTCGCCGAGCTGAGTCGATCTAGCTATGTATGTCCGTCCGTCCGTCTGTCCGTCTGTCCATGTTAATTTGTAATCACTCTACAGGTCGTAATTATGGTTCGATCTTCACGAAATTTAAAATGGAGGTGGGGCTAGGGTCAGAATAGAACCCTATTTCTTTTGGAGATGATAGCATAATATTTAGGGGTCGAAATGGACCAAATACTGAAAAAATATCGGATTTTGCAGAAGCTATACGGAATTCGCATGTAGCTAGAGTTTAGGGCGGGGAAGAAGCCTACCAATTAGGGTGGTCATCGGATAATATTTAGCGGGTAAAATATACCATATATTTTGTGTTAAAAAAATTCAACATTTTTCATTTAACCGCGAATATTTTAAATCCCGGCGAAATCACGAAGCCATGACAAGGTTACTTCTGACCTTTACATTGATGTAAACATCCAACAAAACGGATATATAGCAAAATATGTGCGATATATATGTCTATCAAAGAAGATATGCTTGAAAGATCTTTTATATGTCGAGAATGGCTGAACTGATTTCGACAGTTCTTATTAATTCAGAACGGCCTCTTGGCAGGAAAAAAACGTCTAAAAAATCGCATAAAAATATATCTCTAAAGATGAAAATATTGATTTTGTAACATTTTCTCATATTTTTTTCAATTTTGTCATATTTTTGGTATATTTTCATTTTGAATTAAACATTTGGTAATATTTTTACAGCTAACAAAACTAAGTAGTTAGGATATCAGGATATCATATACAGATCGCATTTATGGCCCGATCTTTATGAAATTTTGCATGGGTATAAGATGAGGGTCAGAATAGAAGCCTACTCTTTTTGGAGATGATCGCAATATATTTAGGGGTTGAAATGGACCAAAAAACTGCAAAATTGTCAGCAGGTCGTAATTATCGCCCGATCCTCATGCACATTTGAATGGGGGTTACCGGACATTGCGAAAGCCAAGCAGTTTGGATGGCCATCCAAAAATATTCAATGTGTGAAACTTTTGTAGACAAATACGAAAATGTCCATTCCAGTGACTTTTTGGAGAATTCACAAATGCAGGAAAGACGCACTTCTGACTATTTCGTTAACGCTGATTTCGTTGAAGAATATAGTCAAATGGTTGTATCTCATATAGATGTGTTTCAGTCAAAAACCAATAATAAATGTTAATCTTTTGCCACTTCTGAGAGAATATGGGTCTTTGGGAAATATTTGTTCCAGATCTAGGAAGACCATTTACGTGCAACATCTACCAATAAATTGGAAATGAGCAAATTAGTTTAAGTAGCTATTATTTGAAAATTAGAGAACGAAACCTGATGGCTTTCTTTTATTATTTGTCACAATATCTTGTGGAATTCTTTCGGGTATCTCGCCTATATAAACTGTATCGTTTATTGTAGTGTTGTAGGGTATTCAACGGTCGGCCCCGCTCGACTGTAGCCTTTGCTTACTTGTTTTTTTTTTTTAAATTTTATTGAATGAAAGCAAAAAATGTCGGAAATAGCATCAAATTTTAGAATAAGTTTAGATTGGTTCAAATTGGTCACCTTTAGCACGAATTATGACCTTCAAACAGCCAACGAAACCATCACATGCTGCCCGAATGTTGCTCTGCGGTATTTTGACCCATTCCCGGCGAAGCGCTTGCTTGATGTGATCGACACTTTGGTATTTTTTAGTGCCAAACTTGCTTTCCAAAATACTTCAGACACAATAGTCCATCGGGTTGGTATCCGAAGATCTTGGTGGCCATTGTGCGCTGCAAATGAAGCGAGGGACCTCAATTGGGTGGCGCGTGATGAGTGCGATGGTGCTAAGTCCTTTTGGAATGACCAAGGTCCGCGGCCAAAATATTTGCGTGCCCAAGGCTTTAATACACCTCACAGAATATTTTCGCGATAATATTCGGCATTAATTCTAATGCCACGGTCGATTAATACGAGAGCGACCATCGGCTGTTATGGCGGCCCACACCATCACCATAGCCGGCGCTTGAGTTCTGATAGCCAAACGAAGGTGCATTTTTTCAGCTGACCTCTTTGGCAAGTAACCACGATCATTTTGTTTGTTCACAAACTGCTGGACAACAAATGTTTTCTCATCGGAGAAAACCAAATTCGATAGATCACCACTTTCGGCAAAGCGAAGCAACTCTTTAGCTCGTTTGAGTCTATTTTCTTTCTGTTGTGGTGTAAGTTCTTGCACTTTTTGGAATTTCAATGGCTTTACCCCGAGCTCATTTTTATTCACCATAAATAAACTGGAGTGCTCTAACGATAGCCACTTGCGGTTTTCCAGCCAAATATAAAGAAATCACACTATCACGCTTGAATTCCATCACGGATAACTTTTTTTCTGGAAAATTCTCACCAAAATGCTTTTGTACGCTTGTAAACAATATAATGAGCAGTCACTGGAATAATTTTAACAGCTATCGGACGAGTGTATTAGAAATGACAGCAGTCTGAAGTTTGTTGCAGTTTTTTCATCTCACTTTGTATGTTCATAATCAGCATAAAATTCTAAGTAGATTTAACGATTTCCGCCTGTCTGTCCATCTGTCTGTTGAAATCGCGATAAAGCCCACATTATCTGACGTAGAGCGTCAAAATTGAACAGAACAAATTGTATTGTGTCTAGGATGGTTGGTATTGAAAATGAGACATATCGTTTTAGTATATATAGCCCCCCTATAACGGTACCTCCCAATATTCGGTATTTTAATGATTTTTGACACATTGGTATTTGTAGTTCATAATGAGTTCTATCCCGGTGGCAGAACATTAAATATTTCGTTCCACGTTTTCCTAAAGCGCACCGATATTCGGTATTTTGATAATCCTAGTCGCATTTACCCACATAATCGTTTCATATTTGGTATTTTAGAAGATTTTATAGATGAAAATCCTTGAAGTATAAAATTGTCTATAGAGGTTCCCGTTTTGGTATGGCCCCATGTAACGGCCTCACTCACTTCATGGTTTTTTGATAAAATTAATTGCATTATCCAAAAGGTCTGGTAGGGTAAGTGTACCAGTAGTCGGCACTTTTAGGATTTTCGATTTTTCAATCTTTTAACATTCTGTATTATATCTTTCAACTGCAGAAAAATAAAGTTGTTCAGATTCCAAATTTTATTTCCTCTTCGAAATAATAAACAAAAATTGAATTTGTTTTTATTAAATTGGCAAAATTTGCAATTTTACTATAATAGTAGTTTTTTGCCAGTAGTCGGCACCATTTTCCAATGCTCGGCATGTCTATTTGCCAGTAGTCGGCATATGGTATTTCAGTAAAAAAAATATTTTGTATATTTTTTTATTTCAAATATAATAAAACAATGCTATTTTACTAATTCACAGTAGTACAATAGTGTTTTATTTAATTACCATTCTAAACCAAATATAGGTAGAAAATCAAGAATAGTATGGTTACCTTCAGTAAGGTTTGGTTTTGTGAATTGATCTTTTTCCTTTATATAGCCAACATTTTTTTTTTTTTTCAAAAATGCCACCGCTATCTAAAACGTCAAATAGCTAATTTAAAAACCCTATTTAATTTAGAAAAGTTGGTCAAAAAGCACAAATAAAAGCAACAGCCGACTCAAAACTATTTTTTTATTTCAGTAGTTTTTATTTTTAGTACTTTTCTCAAGTTTTGGTGTAATTGGTCAAAAATGATATTTTTTTAGCAATCGGCACCCCCTGCCGACTACTGGCAAATTTCTCTTTTTCTGTTCCTAATGTCGGCATTAAATAATATAACAGAAAAATGCTTGATTTGTATGTTTTTAAGATATAAAATTATCTTTACTATTATAAAATAAAATTTACTTAAATCGTATTAAAGTAAGTATTAAATTTAATTTACTTAAATCGATTATTAAGTTGACGCCACCACTAATTTTTTGTTTACAAACAACCACTATCGCACGCTTTGGAAGACACCCACTGACGAAAACCGTTATTCTCTCGTAATAAATGCACGGAGATCATTGTTTCTTTACAGAAAAGAGATTATTTCATTATTTGGTCAATTCTATTCTCAGTTATTTAATTTTAAATTTCAAAACTGCCGATTACTGCGACATGCCGAACTTGGGCGCACTTACCCTATACGAAGTTTAAAGTGAAACACACTTGAATTCAGATACTTGTAATGTTTGTTAATGTTTTTTTACTTGTTTTAGTAGTAGAATTCTAACTTTTAAACGCAGTTTATTGTATTTGATCGTACTTTTTGGGAACTAAGACATACGCACAAGACAATAATTTCGGGGAGGGCACTTAATCCAAAAAAATGTACTAACTACAGTTCTCTTACATATAAAGTCCAGTATTATAGATGACAGATTCTTGAATTTTTAGAATAATGAAACAAGATTTTGGACATAAATGTACGGTTTTGTTAGAATTTTTCACGCGGTAATAATGCTGCAAACATAAATCAAGTTTGAAGAATAGCTATATGAGAGCTTTCCGTTTCCAATATTCTTCATCTCTTCTACATCTTCCAGAATTTGCGGTATAAAAAAAATGAGAATGTTATTTTCCCACAGTGGATCCATTTAGATTTAACTTTGCTTTGAGTGCCCTATTTACTTTATTTTCCTTGCACAATAATATAAAAAACACACAATTGTTTACTATATTTAACATTTTCGTTTTTTTATTTGGATATTAACCGTAAATTATGTTCGTTTGTTTGTTTTTATAACATTTATAAATGTTCAATTAACATATATTCTTTGTTACTCGACTTTCAAAGAAAGTACTTAACAATTAAAACTAATTTAAAATTAACATATTTAAAGTTTTCTTGTTTCCTTTTTTTCTCTCATTTCAAATGTGATTTGGTGAATTACGGGGTGCAATTTTATTATTTAAAATTGGCAACAAGTGCAGATATTTTCATTGAAATATTTTCCATGTTTTGTTAATGTATCGAAAAAAAGTAGACAAAGACAAGATGACAAATGTATAAACGTATTAACAAATTAAATATTTCGTAGACTAAATATATCCTAAGTGTGTCGGTGTGTGGGGAGAATATTTGAAAATTGAGCAAAACATTGAATATATTTATAAGGAAAGTTCAAAATGTCGATAAGAAAAAGAATTTAATATGAATTATCGAAATTATGTGTTGATTAATTTTCTGTTTAGTTTGATCTTCGTTGTATGTAGGGAAATATTAGTAACTAATAAAAAAAATTTGTTTACTCAAATAAAATAAATTTTCTTTGTAAAAAATGCTTATACTAAGAAATCTTGTAATTCTCTCACACAAATACACACATTAAAAAAACACAAAGAAATTCGTTCATATCTCGATTATAATTAAATTGCATTTGACATTCCATCAGTCTCTTCTTTCCTTATAAACGAAATCCTCTGCATTTTTTCATATTAACGAAAAAGACACACACACACATAATGCCCTACACTAAAATTATATGTAAGTGTGTGTTGCTTTAGTTTATAACCTTCCATTTGAGTTTGGTAACAGCTTCCAAATCTTTGTTTTCGGGACCCAATAAACATTTGCCATAATATGTGGGTGGTGCTTTGAAGTACTTCTCAACAGCTTGCTGCAGCTCAGTCATTGTAACGGAAAGCATACGCGCTCTATATTTAAGGAACATTTCTTGACTAACACCGTACAAAAAGAAATCAATACCCTGATTTCCGGGAGCAATGGGGGCATCCAGTTGCTGTAGAACACCTAATTTGGCCTCGAATAATGTTTGCTCATTCAGCAACGAATTGTTTTCCTGCAGCCATTGATATGTATTGTCAAAGGCTTCCAGTGTTTTGGTGGAATTTGGGTCACGGTAACTAAAGAAACTGAAGATACCATCTGAACCAATTTTGGCGCCAGCGCCATAAGCACCATTTTGTTCTCTCACCACCGGCAATAGATATTTGGCTGATATCAGTTTGGCCAACACCTTCAATGTTGGATGATCTCTGTGGGTATAGGGTACGGTGAATAAGGCCTTGGCACAATAATTAACTGGAATATTCATAACAAAATGTTGACAACTTGGCTCCAAGAGATTAACTTTGTTTTCCATTTTTTCAACCGGCTGTTCAGGCAAATCTCCCAAGAATTTTTCGTAGGATTTAATAAAACTGGGATAGAACTCCTCAGATGTGTTGACAGCATTACGCATGGCTTTCTTATTGAATAATTTCTCTCCCAAATTCTTTAATTTGGTCATAATTTGTTCAATTCTATTGTCATGGGCAAATTGTTTCATATATTCAATGTGTTCCACACCAGCTAACATGGATTTTAATTTAGCTGAATCTGTAACTAGGCCGGCACATGATTGCATGGCATAAAGGTGACCCGAACTGGCAATGCCCACGGAAATATTTGACATGTAATTATCCAACAACATTTTAACACGTTCAGCATCATCCATTTTGAAATTCAATAAAAGTTCTTTGCTCAAATCGAACATGGAGTCCACATTTTTATCTAAGGCATGTGTGGTCATGAGTACACCCAAATCAAAGGTCTTACTGTCATAGATATTTTCAGCAAAATGTAATTTGAAATTGATGCCAGCTGTCTTGGAAAGCACCAATTTATCGAAATCTCTGTAGTCATAATTCTTAGTACCCATATCGTTGATTATATTACAGAAGAGGGGGATTAACAAAATCTCTTCTTGGGTCAAGGTTGAGCCATCAAAGTAACACTTAAAGTAGGATATTTCATTGGTATGAACATTGCAAACTTGCGTGGGTACATTTTGTACTTTGACCACATCCAGAGGCTGTAGTTTTGGTGCCTCTTGGACATCGCTCAACTTCAGACAAGGTAAAATATCCAAATTTGGTGGTGCCTTCTGGGCTTCCTCCAATTTTAAGCCATTTTCATAGATTTTTGTTCTCTTCTCATGGTCTAAGGCTACAATTTTCTTTTGCAGCAATTCCAATTCAGCTGTCTTGAAGTTATCCTCATAGGTGTCATCGGGAGACATGGTCAAGGTAAGTCTGTGGGTATTGTTGGCAAAGTAATGGGCCATTTTCTTTTGCAAATATTGTGGATCATTTTGTAATTGTGCACGGAAATTGCTTATCATGCTGGATACTCTTAAATTTTGTACCACATCACCTTCATGATTCCACAGGGGAGTTGAGTTGAACAACAAACCCAAACCAAATTGAGGTGATTGATGTTTCAATGATAACTCAATATTGTGTAGAACACTTTCAATGTGTTTGGCATCAAAGCCCTTTTCTATGACCTCCTTTACGGTGGCATCAAACAATTCCTGTACTCGGCCAAAATCATCCACCTTCAAATCTTGCAAACCCACACAGAAGAAGGTATCCTTGATTTGTGGATCAAAACCGGTAGTTTGATTGTAACCACCAGAAAAGTTTGGCTCGATCAAATTACGATAGAATGGTGAATTGGGTCCTCGCACCAATAACTCTGACAAGACATAGAGGACAAATGTCTCGTGAATATCTGTCACATCCGACATTAACAGAGCAATAGCAATTTGGTTTTGTTTCTCGAATGGTGCACCCATGTTATCGAAACGACTCGATATGTGTACATTACGGGGCTTATTCCATCTTGGTTGATTGGGAATGCGACTGTAGGTGTTATCAATGTGTTCATATTTGCTTAAATATTCCTCGTTAACACAGGCCAGAGATTTGTTTAAATCAAAGGAACCATAGGCATAGATACGTGCATTACTGGGATGATAATATTTACGATGGAAATCGACAAGATTTGCATGACTCAATTTTGGGATTTCTAAGGGATTACCGCCGGACACGTAACCATATGTATGATCGGGTAAGAGATTGTTGAGTAGATTTTGTCCAAAGATTGATGAATTTTCCGAGAAGGCTCCTTTCATTTCGTTATACACCACACCCTTAATGACATATTCGGATTCTTTATCTTTCAAATTGGAATGTTCCAAACGCCAACCTTCTTGCAAAAAGTCCAAATATTCCAAATTGGGCCTGGAAAGAGGAAAACGAAAAATATTATTTATACAATTTTTAATCAAGGATGTGTTAACAATTAAGAATTTAATTAATATAATGTGTAGCTGTGGAATACATGTAGAAATAAGTATGCATTTTGTTATGATTATTTAAGAATATTTTGAATATCAATATCAAAATTTTGCTCCGAACAAAAAAAAACTATATTGCGATATAATCAATCTATGTAAGCCCAGAGCTATCACCTAGACAAACATGACGACTCTGTTAAGGGAAATTTGGAAATAAAAATTAGCATTTCGCTCCGATCTTATATTGGATAAATGTGATTAAATAACCCCATAACCCCTCCTGACGTATTCATATCCTACAGTGACACTATCTGTCTCTAATCTGCGAAATATTCATATCTTCGACGTAATTGCCCAAGCGATCTTTAAAATTCGACATAATCTGTATCCAAGTCCTAGACCTATATCCAAGATAAGATAATAGTCGGGGCGGACTCCTACCTCAGAGATAATAGTTCTGAGGGACTCATATATTATAAATAATGGTCCAGAAAATTATTTCCGAAAATGTGATTTTTATGGCCAAGATAACTGTTCCCTCGATCTCACAGAGTGATACTTGTACCTATAACCCGATATAAGCTTAAATTAACATATCAATTATATAATTTGTCAAACATACACTCACCTAAAAACAGCATCCAAATAGATTTTCTGCAAATTCCTATAATCGGTTTCATTCATCGATGAGAATGGGTACATTGTATAGTCGGGTCCAGTCATGGCATTCATAAATGTGGCCACGGAACGATTTAACATTTTAAAGAATGGATCGCGTACAGGGTACTTTTGTGAACCACACAGTACACAATGTTCCAAAATGTGAGGTAAGCCAGTGGAGTCAAAGGGTGTGGTACGGAAATTCACCGAAAACACATTATTACTATCCTTACGATCCAAATACCATAATTCAGTTCCCGTACCCAGATGACGGAATGTATACGACATTATACCGAATTCGGGCACATTTTCACAGCGAATACATTCAAATCCATTGTATTGCTTGCCCTCGTGGAATTTTCGTTCAACTTGTGAAATAACAGTGGGAGATTCTAATTTGATTTTGCCCTGGGCGGCAGGACGCATATCTTGTGCACTGGAACCTGGTTGTTTGGCATACGATGAAAGCTTTTGACGCATGCTCTGGCCGATGACCGGCTTTATGATTTGTAAACGTTTTAACATGTTGCTGTCGCTGCTGCCTTTATTTTCCGGCTATTGTTGTTGTGGCTGCTGCTTCGAATCTTTTTTCACGCTGCCGCTTCGATTCACTTTCAATGTTCCTTTTTAAATTTGTTTCTACAAAAGAGAAACATTTGTTTATTTGCATGTCATTGATGTCTTTTTCATTTTAATTTATTTTTTAAACATTTTATTTTATTTTTAACTTTTATCAAACAAATTTCACATGAAACACATACTGTTACATCAGCACTTGTATTTTTTGACAAGGAACAAAATAGAACTTGATTTGCACGCTTGTTCCAACGGACTTCAAATAAATGAATCCCAGATTAATTTCCAGGATAATTGTGTTTGTTGCAATCATCTACAATGTGCAATTACTTACCTTCTAATATTAATTTTTTAATATTTTAAAAAGAAACAAAATCAAATATAACATCTGATGGGAACGAGAACAAAGTAGGGATTCGTAAATCGAAAATGGAAATTTATAATCACAGGCGACTGACTTCTTCTTCTTAATTATGAAAGGTGACTATTCACTATCAAGTGATAGCATACAATCATTAAGGCATGTTCCCACAGGTTCAACGCGTTTTACAGATTGAATCCCAATCTATATAGTATTTTAATGACATTATTCAGCTATTTGCATATTCAATTAAAGACATTACATTTCAAACAGCTGACACATGTTTCTGGTCATACATAACGAGAAACTAGACTGTGTTCATTAGACGGGGTACAATGATTTTCGACTTTTACCACTTTTTATTACACTTTACTATTTTTGCTACTGTCTAAATAAGCTTGGAAAACGTAACTAAATCCACGGTACAATGAAGACAAGGTAGACTAACATGAAAAAGCTGCACGTAACAGGGTCTATCTGCAAAGATTGTAATATCAGAATAACTATCTAAACATATGCAACTTGTTGCTTTGATTTGTTATGTGTGCATTTGCTCGGCATACGATTAGGCCATCCGACTGTCACAGAGACTCCCAGGGCTAGGGATCTCAACCCGCCAATCGAATCCAACACACTAACATTGAAAGGGGACTTTACTACAATTGCTCTACTCTACGATATACAAAATAGGAGTCATCATACAGGGATCTCGGTGGATCGATCCCACACTCGCCCACCCTACCTGGATCCAGTATTTCCATTTCTTGCGTTTCTCTGAATCCCCTTGAACCACACGCTTTGAATCACACACTTACTTCATACCACCTTCCCCCCTCAAGTTATACAAATTTAGCAACACATATTAGTATCTACTGTTTACAAAAGAATCATTTTTAATTTTATTAAAAAAAAATAAGTTAGCTTTAAATATTTTCTTAATTTTTTTCTCTACTATTTTTTTTCTTACACTAAAATTGACAAACTGTATGGTATAAAAAAAAACAAATTAAGAATAATACCGGGCTTTCTTAAATCTATGGCTTTAATTACTCGGTAGAAACCAATATATTATCCTTTGCCTTGCTTTTCCCGCGCAATATTCACGCGTCTATACGAAATTACTAGCCACCTAAAAGAGCTCTCTTAACCGGCCTAATTGCCGCTAAAATTCCACGGCCTAAACTATCAGATCGAATCACAAGGACTCAAGATAATTTTACTGTAACACCTCCTAGCCTTTGAAAATAAACGCGGTATTTTTCCCTTACAAACTGATTATTACTTAAATCCTAAGAACTATAACCTATCTTATTACTAAATCTTTATACTGAATATTATATTTTTTTTCTCGAAATTTATGATTATTAACTCTTTTTTTCTTTTCTTTTAGTTCCAAAAAAAGGAGACAGCAAATTTTATGGACGTCACATATATATATAAATATATCAAGGACAACACAACGGTAAGACACCTTTTACCTGAGCAGTGATTTATAACGTTATTGATTAATTCTTCTTATCTCTCCTTCCAGTTTACGCTTCTTTCCGGAGGAAACAGATTTTGAACGCCAGGCAAACCCTCAAATGAAGCTGGACTTGTTGACTGGTCCTTTTACAATGCCGGCGTTCTGGGCGGGATCAATAACCGGCACAGCAAAAAGCTCAAAGTTGCAGCTGGCCAGTTTACAATTCAAATCTCCACACCCTCAATGTAACTTTTTTGGCTTTTTTTTCCTGTGGACAACTTGCCACTACCTTGCGTTACCAAAAAGAAAAGGCAATTTCCCGCCGTTGTGCTGACCAAAACCGGACAATTTTCGGTGCTTCCAAAAAAGGCTTGATACACCACCGGAATATTCCTGTTGGAGCAACACACATCACATATAACAACACAATACTCAACAAACCACTGTTACAAACTACTTACACAATAAAAAAAAATCGCAACACACAAATTAAATTTTTCCACTTCTTCACTGCTCTCTAGCTAAGTTTCACCGGTAACGTCTTATTCTTAACTTTGGCTTTTCTTATGCTCGCAGCCTTTTATACCCCTCTTCTCAGTGAATCCCGCCAGACGCTCATTTTCCACGAAACACCATTTTCCTGAACCATTTTCAATTTTCATTCCTTTTTCTTTTCAACTGTCAATAGCCATTTTTTTTTTTTATTGTGAATTCTCATTTCACCTCACCCCTGAGTCTCTCATTTAAAAATCAACGGCTGTCTAACTATTCGCCCAACCCTTTTCACTTACGTTACCAACTCGCCAATTACCCCAAACAACGCCAATTTCCTTTAACCTTATACGGCAGCGAGACATCAGCAAAAACATTTTAATTATTTCTCTCGAAATCTTTTGTTTTTCTATTCTTCTGATATTTCTTAAATTTTTATTTCAACGTGCCGCTTTTTTTTTTCATAATCATTCATTCAAATTGTGTCTAAACAAAATTTTTATCATATTTATAGTAGGTTCCCACCTACTCAGCAATCATAGGGCTGCCTAGTCACTTCTTAGCCTGAGTCACCCTGTCATTTACTACCTTTATAATACTCTTTTACTCAACCCTGTTCGAGCCTAATTTCGTACGTAGCGAACCCTAACAAACCATTTCCGGCATTTTGATCCCATCGCCACCCGGACTACACACCCCGCAGAAATTACAAGCAAATTGAAATCTCGAAGCATCCTCACCATCCTCACTAAAAACCCAGGAAAACTGAGCAAATCCATTTGAGGACCAATTATGGGATGCACTACCAACAGAATTGGGATAATTTCTGCGGTGGTTGTGGACAGGTTTTGCCAAAAAACACGGCCCCATATATTTGTTGCCTTTTTGCGCCGCATGTGAACGGCCTGCAACAAAACTTCAACTTCGGCCAGAAAATCGAGGACGGAGGTGATGTGCACGGCCGCATTACTCATTTACGTGGGGACATCCCACTCCCTGAAGGTCTCATGCCGGGCATAAGCTCCGAACAGCAGGCTGGTCAAAGCCCTCCCCCTCATGCTGGTAAATATCCCCCATCGAAATAGAACCACATAAATTAATTTATTTTTCTAATCTGTCCATCAGATCTGTGAAACATGTCTTGCTGGTTCGCCTGATAATTCTCGATCCGACACCCTGAAAATATCGTGTCACTACCAAACATCGATCGAGTTCCGAGTCCGGGAAACTCGCTGGTAATTCCCCTATAACAGGTCAACATTTGGGAAGATCAAAAACGCTCATAAATTTTACAATACGCATTCGGTTATTTATAAAATCCCGCATTCAGTATTTCTACTAAGACAAGCTCAGAGGAACGGATGGGATTTATCGACCCACTCCTTTGGGACCTTCACTACAAAAAGGTAAACATCCGGAACAACCCAATAATTCTATCAACCCAAGACCTTGTGTGGAGTTGGAATATATTTGTCCTCTCCGGCGGATCTACACTGGTAATACCCACCAGCTCTCAATGAAAAATTCTCCGATTCCATCAAAATTTCACACATTCTTCTTGGTTATGGATATAATCTTCAAAGTTGGAATCTATACGTACTTTGATACACAAATAATTTGATCAAATTATTGAAATCATGGTACAATAAAAAGGTAAGGTAGAGCTAAAAGCTGATTACAATTTTTTTTTCCAAGTGTGCCCGACTTCTGTCATTATTGTGTATTATTTGTTTTGAAAATAAAAAAAAATATTTTCAAGGTCAATGTTTGGAAAAACGAACACTGCGTGGCCGGCGTTCAAAATATTACCCTGTTTTGTCCTGGAATTGAAGGATTAAACAGTTTTGATCACATTTTTTGAAAAAAAATCCGTGCGTTCAATAACGCATTCAAAAAATAACAATTATCAAAACATTTTGTCGCATACAATTTTGAAGTATTTTGACAGAAAGCGGGCATAGCCCTAGCAATGTATTGCGGTACTTTTTTGTTTGTTTTGAACATTTAATAACTTTCATTCCTTAATAGGTGGTGAAACATTTTGCATGCGGAAATATTTGTGCCTATGCCTGTCTTGTCGTCGTGGTTGCCGAAGAACGGATTTTGTATGCGGTATATGCTGATGTGATTGATAGGTAAACAAATACCATAATCGTGGTGTCTACGTGATTGTCTGGTAGAATGTAGTTTTATGTATGTTCGCTTTTTATGTATGGGAATCTTTCATTAATTTATGCCGGAATAAACCAGATTGTGCTATTTTTATCGCCACCGGGGGTGTTTAAGTACATTTTTTTTAAATTTATATGTCGCGTAGAATATTTTGTAAAAGAAATTAGACAGCTGTGATAAACGCGAAACTAGAGTCTGATTAACTTGAATTACCCAATTAGGGGAACAGATCAGCTGATATTTTTGAACCTTAATACGAATGAATTCAGTACGAAGGTGATTTTACTATCGTATTTAGTTTCCTCAGACACATTTTCTATGTTTTGTTTTGATTCATTCGATTTTGAATTAAACCATAACCATGATAAATGTGATATAGAATTGGTAACAAATGTGAAATAGTTTTTGAGAGTTATTTTAGAATTCTTTTTATAAAAATTGAATTGGGAAAGGGGATTGAAAAGACTTTCTTTTCCACTTATCTTTTAAGATCTTTTGCATGACAGATTCCAATCGCCTTTCCATTTAGATCTTCGAGAGAATACATATTATTTCCTATGGGCTTTACTATACGACACTTCGTAAATTTCCGGGCAAACTTAGCATTAAAATTTTTCCCAAAATCGCTAAGAACATAGTTTCTTTTATATACCTCTTGACCCGGAGAGAAAATAATCGTACGAGCCCTTGCGTTATACCTTTTTGCGCTTTGTTGATAAGCCTGATGCATATTCTGTCTAATTTTATTTCGGATTAGTTCCATCTTGTCGTTACGATCTAAATGTATAATTTCATGGTCCGCCAATGAGTGGAGCTTCCGAGCTAATTTATAATCTGAACCATGGGTGTACATACTATGACCAAACAGCGCGAAAAATGGCGTTACACCAGTTGCAGTATGAATCGATGTTCTTAAGGCGCACTCTATGTCTGTTAGATACAGGTCCCAATCTCTGTGGTCATT